ACCTTGAGGACATCTGGGGGGTGCCCTTGCCTGACTGCCCAGGAGCGGGAGGACCCTGGGCCGCTGATCTGTCTCATCCCTGCAGACCCCTCCCCCTCGATGCTGGCCACCCCCTTCTCCAGGGTGTATGGGGTGTCACTGGGAACCCACCTGCAAGAGCTGGGCCGGGATATCGCCCTGCCCATCGAGGCCTGCGTCATGATGCTGCTTTCCGAGGGCATGAAGGAAGAGGTGGGACCCACGGGGGCAGGGGGGAAAGGAGTACCGGGGCCCTCATTGTTTCCTGAACCCCCCACATGCTGCGCTGTCCTGGTGCCTGTAATTCCCTCATTAGAGCACAGGTCCCTGGGAGAAGGCACAGCCTCCTGTCGCTGAACTGACACTACCTCCCACTTAATGATGCTCCTGTGGGCCAGGCACTGTGCTGTAAGCCCCCTGCATTCCTTGCTCCATTTGCTTATCCCAGCAACCCTTGGAGGGAGCCCTCAGTAGCTCCATTTACAACGGGGAGAGAGAGGCAAAGAGGTCAACATGCCCTGAGTCTCATGAGAAGGTGGCATTGAAACTAGGAGCTCCACAGTGCAGTCACTCACACGCTGGCCTGTATCTGTCCTTTGCACTTAGTATTATCAGAACATTGGCTCCTTTCCCAAAGGTAGATCCTTAGGAGGTGGAAACACCCAAAGACAGACTGGGCTCCTTGACCATCCTGCTGGGGCCTCTCCCCTCCCTTCCCCTTCTAACCAGACTCCTGGTTCCCTGTGGTTTTCCCAGCTCCCCCCAGCCCTGCTCTTTGATCAGAATTCTAGACCTTGAGAGTTGAGAGGGTCCACGGACACTGTGGTGTCCACTCTTCCCACCAGGCCAGACACTGGGGACACTGAGGCCCAGTTAGAGCCAGTAGCCTGCCCCACACTATGAGTGAGCCAGGGCCTCCCAGCCAGGGTGTCCTGCTCTGCCCACCCCTCCGTGACCTCACCTGCCCCCTCTCGCACCCCAGGGCCTCTTCCGTCTGGCCGCTGGAGCCTCAGTGTTGAAGCGCCTCAAGCAGACGATGGCCTCGGACCCCCACAGCCTGGAGGAGTTCTGCTCTGACCCCCACGCTGTGGCAGGTGCCTGATCTGGGGAGCCTGGGCAAGAGGGCACAGGGGAGGGGTACAGCTGCCTGAAATGACCCAGTGACAGTTTGGCTTTGATATTCTGCTGAGACACCTGTGGACACATAGGGGTTTTTAACATAGGGCCCAGAGTGTTAACCCTGAAATACATGTACATTTTGCGGGGGAAGAGATCGCTAGCCTTCATTTTCTCAAAAGGGCCTGTGGCTCAAACTATCAGACCTAGACATGTTAGTGTGAACAAGGGCTGGAGGTTCCTTCCACAAGGAGAGAGCTGGGTACTGTGAATAGAGGGGAGTTTGCGGGGCTGCCTCTGACCTTCTCCCACCCGTATCAGGTGCCCTCAAGTCCTATCTGCGGGAGCTGCCTGAGCCCCTGATGACCTTTGACCTCTATGACGACTGGATGAGGGCAGCCAGGTGAGGTGTCAGGCGTGGAGGGGAGGCTGTGAAGGTGTGGCCACAGCTGGCTCACCAGGTCTCTCCCTCCTCAGCCTGAAGGAGCCAGGGGCTCGTCTGGAGGCCCTCCGCGAGGTATGCAGCCGCCTGCCCCGGGAGAACCTCAGCAACCTCAGGTGAGCCCGAGCACACCTCCCTGGCCTCCCCCAAAAGCCACAGCCCAGTTGGAACCCAGGGCCCCTGGGTTTGAGTCTGGTTGTGCCACTGTGTCCTGTGCAATATTGCCGGAAATACAGCTTTGATGTTCTAGTCATGTTTTTTTATACCAGACATTAAAATAAACAATACCTTGGACCTTTGAAACCACGTTGCCTGACTTCAAATCCCACCTCTGCTACTGTGTGGCCCTGGGCAGGCAACTCAGTGTCATCATCAGGAAAGTGAAGATCATGATAGTCGCTACCTCAC